AAATTTGCACTCATGCGTTTTTAACTGAAAAAGGCACTCGTGCATTACGTGTACTCGTGCTCTTTTTCAACTAAAAATGTAATCTGGCAAATTTCCGAAAAATTATCGATAATTTCCATTGCACTTGTGACAGTGGCGCACCGAGGGTGGGGGCTGCCGGGCTGCAGCCTCCCCCGAGCTAATGTGACAAAAAAAAGTATTTCAAATATTTCCAGTAATTTTACATGTTTTATTTAAATAAATACTCTCTTCACCGTAATGATTATAATTCAAAAAATTTAAAGTTTGGACCATTTCCTTGAGAGCTAGAAATAGGGATTGATATTTTTATGCGCTCCTAATAAAGTTCGGTTTATCTTCCTCGAGCGAAAAGTTATACAGCCACATGTGACCAGTTTTGTAACTTCAAATGAAAGATCACGTGAGCTTCTGTCAACAATGTCATCTTCTAGCTTGCAGAGGATTAACCGAACTCGCCTAGCAGGCTATTCGTTAGATAAAATCATGGTTAGGTAAGGTTATACAGGGTGTTTGTTTATAATTAGAACACTCAGTAACTCTTTTATTATTGAAAATAAACGGCATGTTTAAATTGGAAAATTTCTTGGTAAATTGAAACAATCTTAATCGCAACAACAATATTTTTTTGTCGTCATAGGTATACAGGGTGCGCCGAAAAAAGTATTTTTTTTAATGGATCGCCCTCTATATTTTTGCATTTTCAATTTTTTTCGAAAATTAGCTTCACAAAAATATCAAACACTATTTGGATAACAAAAATATACAGGATTTTCCATTAGAAAAAAATACTTTATGGCGCACCTTGGTTTTCAAAATAAGCTTTTTTCTCTCTATTGATTGTATAGTTGACCTCATTGCGTAACCTTTTATAAAAATCGTAAGTTGCCGGGTTTTTACTTTTTTAAACCTACTTAAAACCTTTTCTCTTTCTGCAATTAATAGTTTTGTTTGTACAGGCGCATGGCGCATGATCATTGAAGATATTTAGAATCAAATTATTAAGCATGTTAATTTTATTGTTTACATCTGTAGTCAAAAATATAGGAGAAAAATCAATTGAACTTAGATGTTGATCAAAAATAGCCTGGTCAAAATTCTTGAAGTTTGTAAACGTATATAAGAACGGTTCGATTTTTGTCTTCAAATTTCTAAAACGACAGGAAACGAGACAATGATCAGCTATAGAGGACACTTCTTTTACCGCTGATGACGTTACAGTAAGGTCACGTGTGCATGCTATGATGTCGATGAGCGTGGCGCTAGTTCCACCCTATCTTGTTGGCTCGTAAATTATTTGTTTTAGATCATAGTTTTCTAGAATTTGAAGCATTTTTTGCGTTGCGCTGTGGCTATACTACTATACTGCAATAGATTTATATTTATATCACCTGTGCATATTACATAGTCACACTGAGGAGCTATTAAGATTGAGAGTTTCGTCAAAAATATTCAAAAAATTACTAGCATTTAAGCCTGGTGGCCTATACCAAGTTCGGTTGGACTTAATAGTTATTTATGATATAAGTGTTAAAAGTACATTTTTAAGGCACGCATGTGAAAGTTTGCAGAATGAGCGAAGCGAATTCTGCAATTCACATAAGTGCCTTAAAAATACTTTTAACACAAATATCATACAATATTTTTTCTACAAACGGCAATAAAAAGCAATAACCAGTAACACATTGGATTTTTAAATGAATAATAAATTGGAAGCATCTTTCCTACATAAAATTATTGAATTTGACATTTGTCAAAAAGTTCAAACAACCAGCACCTTGTTTTACAGGTAATGAAATGTCTTGTCAGTTTCTTGAAAGACTGTCGTGGTTAGTAATGCTTTTTGCTTAAAATGCAACAAAATACAGAAGAAAAAGAGGGTTGCATCGATCCCTTGAAAAATATAGATGAGGCGGCCAATCGGGCTACCTCAGTTGTTCAAATTTCACCATTCATATCAATGTAAATAACTAAAAATACAAACTTTTTTTGACGTTCGCTCTCAAAATTTGATGTTTCATTTTTAACACTAGTGCTATAAAGACTTTATGGCACTAGTGCGATAAAGTAACATTTTTAATGCTTCGGGGGGGTGTTAAAAATTGCATTTTTAACACGTTTGTAGAAAAAATGGATTATGTCAAATGTGAAATAAACACCTTAACGTTTGTTCCAGCAAAAAGTTGGAAACATGTTGGTGACATTTCCCTAACAGTTAAATTTGTTGGTGACATATTATGTTTTAAAGTTGGCAACAAATTTTTGCTGGAACGAAAATCTTTGCCATTTCCCAATAAGACAATTCAACGAGCTGTCAAAAGAAAGTTCAATATAGAGGCCAATGCCAAGCGTCTGTACTCTGTGAGGTGTGTTTGTTTATACACTACGTTTTATTGCGATTTTTGACTTGTGTAAAGTCTGTAAAGAAGTAAAGTGTTGATTTTTTGAAAAATGCCTACGTTATGTATTGTACTTAGTTGTGGGAGCCGTTTTAATCGCGACAAAGTCTCGTTTTATGCCATTCCTGCAGAAACACAGGTTTTTAACGAAAAAAGAAACGATTTTTCTGTACTTCGTAGAGCTTCATGGATTGAGAGAAAAAATCTGATGAAATCCATTTAAAAACCCAAAAAGTCTCTCCACATAAACGTTGTATGGATCCAAGCCATGGCATTTACTATCCTCAACTTGTGTTGATACCAGAGCTGGGCAGGGCTTCAGTGCTTTGTGCTTGCGAAAGTGCTTGAAGCACTTTGAGGACTTGAAAGCCCTGTGCTTCAAGCACTTTTATAGATTTGTAATTGAAAAAAGTAATTCAAGCCCTTTCAATGAGCTTCAATTACTTTTAGAGGGCTTGAAGCACTTTTGGGAGCTTGAAGCCCTTTGAAAGGGCTTGAAGCACTTTAAGAGGGCTTGAAGCACTTTTGGGAGCTTGAAGCACTTTGAAAGGGCTTGAAGCACTTTAAAAGAGCTTGAAGCACTTTGAAAGGAATTTGAATTGACCATCATTCAACCTATCCCCAACTTAAAAATTTTCGATCGTGTTTTGTCCCTTAATTTTTTTTTCTATTATTTGAACTTGAACCGTCTTATGTCTTTTCTCTCTTAACAATGGAGGTTTTGGGTTTGAGCTTAGAATGGAATTTAAAAAAAAAAATGAATGAACTTATTATTCAAATAAATAATTAATTTATATTGGTACCCTATTTAACTTTATCACTGGATTTTTTTCACATTTCCCCATTGAACATTTTGAAAACCTTAAAATTGAATTACCATGTAGTACCCCAACTACCCCAAGTACCCCAGAACTACATCTCAAAAAAAAACATACTACTGCTACGCTGTGGAATGTAAAGTTCGTCTCTACTATACCAATTCTGTGTGATGAGTGTATGCAGTAGCTTATACCACTTTGATAATTTTATTACAAATTCAAAGTGCTTTATGCACAGTTAAAGAGCTTCAAGCACATTTAAAGAGCTTGAAGCACATTTAAAGCGCTTGAAGCCCTTTTCAAGGCAGTTTTGATGTGCTTCAAGCACTTTTCAAATCACTTTGAGGGCTTTGTGCTTGTCAAGCCCAAAGCACTTTGAGGGCTTTGTGCTTGTGAAGCACTTTTGAAAATAAAAAGGAATTTGTGCTTGAAATTGAAGCACTTTGATAGAGGGCTTAGGGCTTAGTGCTTCAAGCCCTTTTACTGAGGGCTTTGCCCAGCTCTGGTTGATACCTTGAATAGCAGACAATATTCTTCAAGATTTGGTTGAGAAAAAACTAAACAGAAAACAAATCCTGGAGAGTACCTAATTATTTAGTAGGTAAAGGTTTGTCAAAAAGAAGTCATACCTTTTGTCAACATCCGGGCTTTCCACTAATAAATTCCTAAAATAAAAACTTTCCATCCTAGAATTCAAAAATTATTCTTCCAAATACTAAAAAATCACCTTAAAATACCACAAAATACACAAAAACCAGTTTTTTTATGAAAAATGTCACGGTTGTTTGAATTAAAATTAGGACGCCAATTTCATTGCTTGCCGCTTGGCATTGGCCGCCATTTTCATTGAATTGCCCTATTCTGTAATGACAAAATCGATCAAAGGTGGAACCTTGATCAAAGGTGAAGATCAAAGTTAGGTTAGGAATTAAAATGTTTGAAGAAAATCGACAAGCATTTTGAGCAGTTGCCAACACGTTATAAATGTTTCAAACATCTGCTGAAACAGCTGACATTTGCAAATTGTCACCAACATTTCTTTGCTGGAACGCAAATTTGTCATTCCGCATGTCACAAGCTGCTGCCAACATTTCTGATAGCTTGCTGGAACAAACCTGATACAAAGACAAAAAACATAATTAAAAATATACATACCTACAATAGGTATGTAGGTGTGGGTACCTACCCAAAAAAAAATTAGTCAAAATGAAATAAATCAATATGTAATTGATTTTGTAAAAAAGAAATATAATAATAATTATATGTGATAATAAAAATTATGACGATATTTCCATATTTTAATGACTTTAATAAAAAAAATACAAGTTTTTCGGCCTTTTATTGCCAAGTTGATTTCTTAACTAATCTGTATGGCATAGATTTTACTTAGGTAGAAAAGATTCACTCTACAAAGACCGAGGATGGTATTTCAGTCAGAACATTAAATATTCGATCAATTTCATCAAAATAGAAAATTATTATGAATATATTTGAAATTTCCAAAAAATGATTTAAATCATTGATTGTTTTTCAAAAAAATCACTTGATTTAAATCACGATTAAAATAATTTCATTTGAATCATGCCAACCCTGATTGACAGGAAGCACAGTGGCTCTTCTATGTATAATTGAATTTTGAACAAATTTGCAATTTTCCATTTGTGGCAAGAAGTTATAAAATAGAAACAAAAAAAGTATTCAAGAAATCCATAATTTAACACATTTTTGATAGCGTAGGTATTTAGACTCACATTCATGTTCTTACCTGCATTAATTTCCTGTCAAAATCGTGAATTTTTTCACACAAATAAAGCTCGGCCTCTTCTCGGGTCATGTACAACAACCCGTTCGACGACATATTCCAAATCTCGTTTTCCAATTCCAAAAAATCCCATCTTAATTGATCTATTAATAATCTTTGATCGCTCACACAAAAACAAATCAAATAAAAACTGCCCAGCAGTCTGGAAATAATCATTTTCTTTAAAAAAAATTAGGTTCCAACTGTTTGCTTGGAACCGGAAAACGTTTCTTTTATAGCTCATATATTCGGTTCCACTACGCAAGTCACTGGTCTTGTTCAATCAGCTGATGCGACCCGAAATTTTAAATGTACCTATTGGTATTGGAATAAATGATATTGATATACTTATATGGTGGGATAGCCAAGTGAAATAAATGCAGTGAGAGTTTATTTATTATGCATAGGTATTTAAAAAAAAAATGCTGAAATTCAGTTTTAAATTGGAAGTAGGGGTTTGGGATATCTTATTTGAAAGGTGGGTTCGGGTGTTACGGCTGTTACTGGAAGGGAGTTGAATTTACGTTGCAAGATGTCATTTTAGAATCTAAAATTGACATCTCAGCTACTTACTGAATTTTACCGCTATTCTACACTGGTAACAAAATATTACAGTGTGTAATAAAACAATATATTTAGGGAAATCATTTTTAATAGGTACTGAAATCAGACAATATAATGTCTGCCCAGCGAGTCTGTATCTACGGGGCAACGGTAAGGGGAATGCAGTTGTAAAAAAAATGGCTGATTTCATTCATAAAATACCCAGCTGCGTGAGGAACTTTTTGAAAGTGATATCGTATTGCAACTCGTACACGAAAATCGACAATGACCAAACCCCCGCCACTGGATATTTCAATATAAATCGATATTCCAAGATGGTAGGATAAAATGACGGAAGTCCTGGCCAATAGCGAGACGTAAAGTGACGTTAGCCCATTGACAACCGCATGGTTCCCCGTGGCAACGGCCATCCTGCCAAAAACTCCACCAATCAGGTTCATCCAGGCCGGATGCTTGCCAAATTGTCAAAAGCTGATGGTATCTTTAGAAAATGTTTATTTTTTACAATGGACAAAATTGAAGAAATCAGTTATTAAGATAAGAATAGATCTAACAATCACGTTGAAATATTTAGCATTGTATTTGGTATCTATATTTTGTTATTAAAAAATGGATTTTCAAGTGAACTATACTTCATGCCTAGTATTTTGGCTTTTTTATAATTAAACGTAGCAACATCGCACATTTACGTCCGAATTCCTTCCGTAGACTCAGGAGCGGGACTCTGTGTCATGTAGAATTCTACCAGTCGACAAGATTCTACGTGGTTGGCACTCTGTGCATCAAGAATATCGACGAAACGCAATTTATTTTATAATTTAATTTCTACATCTCGAGACGTGTCGAATACTACTGACGCATGTGCATTGTTGTGAAGTTTCATGAATGATATTGACAATGGGCCACTTTCACATTTTTCACAAACGTTTTTAAATTATACTTTTAGTCATTCTAATACTATCTGTATACTTTTTTTCCGAAAAAAAAAGCTTATTTTTGAAAAAAAAATTATTTAAAAATCGAATTTTTAAACTGGCGTGAAAAAATGAACTTGGTGTGTGACGTCACACACCAGAAAATCAAGGATGCCAAATTTCTCATAAGTAAATCATTACATATTTCACTAGCTAGAAACTATTTTCGTCCTTTACTACATTATAAAAAAATAAAGGATAGGTATAATCCTTATTAACTCATTTAAATTTCTCATTTCTACATGTGGCAACAAAAATGTCAAAATCGGCCTTAGCCAATCACAGAGCGTTTTCAATCACGTGATTTTTCGTTTAAATTTTTAGTTTTTATTTCTTAATTTATTTAATAATCTGACTAAAATCTTGCAAAATATTGTTCATTCTTGGTTGCATTGATGTATCTGCGTCAAAAAATATTATAATTTGCCATATTCCCGGCACGTGAAAGTGGCCCATTGCGAAATTGTTGTTGTTGATATTCCATATTTATATTGAGAAATAACACTGGCCGAAAAGATTTTTGTAACACAGGTTAGATCTTTATGGTTAAAATGGAAATACCCTTCTAATAATGGAAAAAATATTCCTAAAGCCCTAACACGTACCACTTTTCAATAACTTAATAATACCATTTTACATTAGCAGGTAGTCAATTTTATCAGGAGAGGGTAAAATGGATGCATTTTATAACAAAAAATAACCTTAACTGTAGTGTTTAGATTAGATATAAAAGGCACAATGGAAATTCAAGATCAAAGTCGATGGATCTAGCCATGATGTGTGATTACTGGTTTTCGAAGGAAAAAGATATGACCCATCATAAAAGGAAAAATAGAATAGAGATACATAATTAGTGTTTTCAGGACATTTTTTGATGTTTGTGTTTTTCTCAGATGTAAAGTTTGTCCACTAGGTGTAGCACTATAAATACAGTCGATATCCACTGATAGAAAATTCTTAAATTATTTTTTCAATAGATATTAAATATTGTAACATTAAATGTGGTTCTATAAATGTAACAAAAAAACGTTACGTGTTACAACAATAAATAATATTGACATTTCTTAGGAATCATATAAAAATTCCCTAGAGTTTCCCCTAGATTGGTACTACGTTTTTTGCATGGTTAGTAGCATGATAAAAGGATCCGAGAACGTAGCCGAAATGTTGTCGATAGTGACACAGAGTGCCGTTTCAGCCGACTATCGCTTTTGAAAATAGATATCTACTATAGAAAGCGAGCTGTAGAATTCTATAGAGCACAGAGTCCCAGAGTAGAACCGCTGGGCAAACAATACAGTATCCGCCAAAATAAACAGTACCGAACATTTAAATTATATCGTTTATTAATTTGTAGCATGCGTAAATGTTCAAAAAATGCATCATAGCGACTCAAAAAAGCTTCATAACGATTCTGGAAATCATTGATAATATCTATTAAGAGTGGTTTCTGAAATTTTTCTGAGACTTGTTTCAAACTTGAGCCTTTATTCCTTCCAAATCCGTATGACCGGAAATAGTGCTCTATACTAAGAAAACTGTTTCTTAAGTCAAAAGATACCTAATGACGAAGATTTTAACCTTAACTTAATGTCAACCTTATAACTAATGCCAAGTAAGCGAAATATGATGAATGCAACTTGCGTGCGCAATTACTCAGAGCTCTAGATTTCGGTACTGTTTATTTTGGCGGATACCGTATGCATCAAAACATTCTGCCACCCAATCTAACCATAGCCCGGAAACCTGAACAATCAAATTCGATGTGACTATTTTGGGTGGCATAATTTTACTACATGCGCTGAATCAGGGGTCAGAATGTCGGGACGATGATGGAGCTATTTAAAGGGTCAGAATGTTATTGCATGGGCTAGATTCAGGGTCAGAATGTTACAGGCGATAGAGCATTAGTATTAAATTTAACAATGTTTGATGTTGAAAAATCTATAGCTGTCTTTTGTACGTGTTATTCAATTCAGAAATTTAGATTTTATTCGTGTTCCCTATGGATTTTTTTCATGAATATGCAGTGAGGACATAAAGTCCGTCGCCCCCCCCACCCCCCTCTAACTTTTGAACCGCTTGGTATATTGCAACGAAATTTGGAATGATGATGTGTGAGCAGATTCTCTATTTTTTCAAATGCAAATGACAGCTTTAGCTGTCAAAATGACAGCTGGGCGGGGTTTTGAAACGTTTTTTTAAAAAGAAGGTGGTGTCGAGTGATATATCGTTTTAAAGGCCTCTTTATTCTTAACTAGCGGACCCGGCGAACTTCGTAACGCCTCAGAATCAATAAATGTTAAGTTAACGCATTAGCTTAATTAAATTCAGTTTTTTAATAAGATAAAATGATTACGGTTCAATAAATGTTCAAAAATCAAAATGGAACAAACCGCGCAATCTGACGCGGCAAACTTGGTATCGGTTATAAGACATGCCGCCGTATGCATATTTAGTGAATTTTCTTCATAAATATGTTTGTCTTTTTCTTGTGTTTTTTTTATATGTTCCAATGTTCCAATAGTTGTTATGTAGGTAATTCGGGCCAGACAAATCCAATATAACAAAAATCATAAAAATCGGCCTAGCAGTTCTCGAGTTATAGGTTCTGCAACCAACCCGACAGATAGATAGATAATACAGTTACGTCAGTTGAATGCGAAAATTTGAATTTTTAAATTTTTTAATAAAAAAATAATACACTTACGTCGGTTGAATGCGCAAACTTAAATAAATGTGGCAACGTTGTTTCATATTGTCAAAAAAAGTTGGGTCATATATGTGAATAAGTTTGTTTATAATTAATTAAAAATTAATTTTGTTTTCCGAGAAAAAATGTAGCCTATACTTACTCTTTATACAGGGTGTTAATAAATAGTGGGATCAAACTTCTAGGACAAATAGTACTCATTAAAATAAAAAAAAAGTTGATAGAAACATAGGTCCGCAAATGCTTAGTTTTTGAGATACAGGGTGTCAAAGTTTGAAAAAATCGGTTTTTCATAATCCGTTTCCCGAATTTTTTTAAACTTGGCAGATTTGTTTGTAATAATAACAAAAGGTATCTTTTGATTCAATTAGATTTACAGTAATTATTCCAATGGCGCCCCAGAGGAGAACTATACCATTTCCAGGATTTGATTTCAAATTAATGAAAACTAAATTCACATCAGTGAAATCTAATTTCGCTCAAATGAAAATTGGTTTCAAAGTAACGAAAACTAATTTCTCACAAACGAAATTTGATTTCACATTTTTGAAAATGAATTTCAAACTGACCCTAATTAATACTTATTTTTCAAATATTTATTATTTCAATTTGAAAAAAACATCAACAACGTTATTTATTTCAACCCAATGAAATGAACCCACTGAGTTTAGAAAACTGTGGTTTAGATAACATAAAACTCATTCATGAAACAATAATAATAATTATGAATTATTTAAATAAATTAAACTTCAGTTTGGCAAATCACGTGGAAAGGTATAATGCAGCTATCTCAAGAGTGAGAAGATTGAACTGAAGTTCAATTTATTTAAATAATTTATAATTATTATTGTTAATTGTTTCATGATTGTATTTTATCTAAGTGAAGTTCGTGTCCTATCGGTATACAATGAAGGGGGTGATTCGTC